TTTAAGAGTAGGTTAGATAAATGTCTATCAGGGATGGTCTAGACAGTATTTGGTCCTGCCATGCGGGCAGGGGACTGGACTCGATGACCTCTCGAGGTCCCTTCCAGTCCTAGAATCTATGAATCTATTAATTTAAAGAGGGGGTGACATGGTCAGAATGACATAGTAAGAAAATCATTTTGGAGGCCACATTCCATAGGGAGAGGTGGGGGCAATGTGGGTGTTGGGAAGGATGGAGAGGAGGTGGTTGAGGGATGAAATGAGGAAAACCTGGGAAGAAATGTCAGAGAGGCAGAATGAGGCATGAGATGAGGGATTGGAAGGAGGGAGATAGATTAGGAGTCATCAGCATAGCTATCATAGCTGCAACTGTATGAGCAGATAATGCACTTAATGTGTAATGGGGAAAAAAGGAGGCTACCATGGAGAGATCCTTAGGGAATCCCCCAAAGAGGGTGTGGGGGAGGAGGAAAGATTCTGAAGGACCAATCAGATGGGTAGGAAGAATTCCAAGAGAGAATAGTACCAAAAAAGCCGAAGAGGGATAGGGAGTCAAGGAATAGGGAGTGATCAGCAGTTTTAAAGGCAGTGGGGAGATCCAGAAGAATGAGCATGGAGTACAGCTGCTGAGATTTGGGTTGGAAGAGATGAATGGAAATGTTTGTTGGGTATGTATTCGCTGGGGTGGAGAGGGGGGTCTAGAATAGAGTTAGAGGAGGGGAAACTGCGGGAATGGTTGTAAATGGTCATTCAATGATTTTAGAGGTAAAGAGAGAGGGAGCTGGAGTGGTAGTTCACAAAAGTAATAGTTCCAAGGATCAGTTTTTTGAGAATTGAGGAACCAGACCATTCTGATACTTGGAGCGGAAGGAACCAGAGGACAGTGAGAGGTTAAGGGTGAGATGGAGGAAGGAATGACATTGGTGCAGAGGTGGGGCAGGTGAAGGGATTGGAGAAAGTACAAGACCCATTAGTGACAGAAGAAAAAGGGTGCTGGGGATGAAAAGGAGGAGAGGGAGAGTGGGGAAGGAGTAGGGAGGTCATGACAGATGTTGTCAGTTTTCTTCTTGAAGTCAGTGAGATCCTGTGCATAGAGGGTGGAGGATGTAGGAGAGAGGAAGGCTTTAGGAAGGAGTCAGTGGCCATTAATAAATGTTTGGGTTTATAGGCATGGGACTCAATAAGGGAGAGGCAGAGCTGCTGGGCAAGGAAGGTGGTAGAACAAAAGGCTCAGAGGACAAATCTGTGTGTAGGAAGGCTGCATGGTGTCTGGTGCCAGAGAGGCAGGATGAGCAACAAGGTCGGGGATTGATGGGCAAATTATATGGGGGGAAAGAGGGACAAAGGAGTCAAGGATAGAGAGAGTGGTGTGAATGGACTTAACAACTGATCAATGGAGGCGAAGGAAGAGGAGCAAGTATTGGGACACAGAGTATGAGAAATCACGGGCATTAAGGGATTGAAGGTCCTGGAAGGTCATGGGACAGATGGAGGTGAGTGATGGTACAGGAAATGAGTTGGTAGCCACAAAGAGCAAATTCAGTAATGAAATATGAGAAAGGGAGCTGTGCTTAGTGATGGCAAGGTCTGTGGCATGGTCTTTTGGTGCAGGGAAGAGGTCATCTCCATTTGAGAGTCAAATAAGCAGGTGAGAGCAAGGACACAGAAGACTGAGAGATAAGGCTTCTGTTTCGGTACCAGTAAGCATGGTTTTGCAAGACACGATAATCAGTATAACTTTGGGAATGTATCTTAATATGAATGTTAGGATGTTCTATTAAACCCATGTAATCTGTTCCTAATTTTTCTTAGCTTCCTTGTTATGTTTTACATATATAGTATGCATCTCACCTATTGTAACGGTTTGCAGGATCAGACCCCAATATGTGATTTAGTCAGAGATATAAAAGGAAAATCTACGAGAAAGTGGTTTTGCCTTTATTAATCTGACCCATATCAACTTTCTCTCTTTGCAGCTTTTCCCGTCTTCTGTACCCAAGATTCAAACTTTGCTGCATGATGTTTATCACATGGTAGACCCTATGGGAAAGCTTGGGTCAGTCCTGACAGTACATTGGTTTCTTTCCAATTTACTTGAGCAGTTCCAGTTCATGAAAAAAGAGGCGCGTCCAAATCTTTCAGGATGGTAAGATGGCTATTGGATAATATTTCTAGGGCCAGATCCTCAGCTGGTGGAACCCAGTGTAGCTCCACTGACTTTAGGGGAGCTTTTGACTTAAGAGGGGCTATGCCAATTAACACCAGCCAAGGCACTGGCTCAGCGTGTCTTATTATGGTGTGTTGGGAGGTATTCCATTGTTAAGGTTGAACTGAATTTCCAGATAAATCCAGTTTGGGCCCTTTTCTCCCCCTTCTAACACACAGGATTATTGGTGGCAAAATTAGTGTGTGTGTGTGTGTGTGTGTGTGTGTGTGTGTGTGTGTGTGTGTGTGTGTGTGTGTGTGTGTGTGTGTGTGTGT